ACGACGCTTTGGTTTTCTACCCTCCTGTCTTAGGAAGCTCTCGTGTTGCACCGCCCTGATTTCATCTCTCGCTCTGGCGAGCGTGTGAAGCGTCTGAAGCTCATCATGGAAGAAAGGAAGATCCAGAGCGTGCTGCAGAACGAGCGCGAGGAACTGTTTAATCCCCCTGAGAAAAGGAAGGGCTATAAGAACGCTAGTTGCCTGCTCTCCAACAGAGGTACCTCTGGCTTTTGCCTTTGCATGGTCTCTAGGAAGTAATGATTGTCATCATTTTGCCTGCAGAACGTTGTTGTAAACGTGCATTTTTTTCTGACGGAAATATTGAACGTCATTATTAAAACGAATAGCTTCATATAAAATTATAGGTGAATGAGGTTATTACAATTGGAAAGTTCTCTAAGGGAGAGGCTCATTCACTGTTTTTATGGAAGCTTGAGAGTTTTCTTTTTTGCTCAGACTTTCTCTTTTTCATTTAGACTTCCAGGTTAGACAGGAAAGGAGGACGATTCCAAAGGGAGAAATGGTCCAAAGATCCAAACGGTAAGTCTGAAAGAGACTTGTTTCAAACAGCACTGGTTCCTGTATCTGTCAAAAGTTCCCGTATAGACTTCAAAACAGCTGGAAGCATCCCTCGTGCCCAAGTCTTCGTTTGCCGGAACAATATACCTATCCCCATTCACATCACCAATCTGAATGGGGATAGGTATATTGTTCTGGCAAATGAAGACTTGGGCTTGAGGGATTTTTCCGGCTGTTTTGAAGCCTATATGGGAACTTTTGTCAAAGGGAGAAACTCTGAACATACCTGGCCATTGTTACGTTTCCATGGTTTTTTTAATTGTCAGATTGAATGCGTCACTCCTATGTCCACAGTCCAAACGCTGCAGCCAAGTGCCTGAGCTCTACCTCTGTAACTGTTCAGAAATGGACATTTTTGGCAAGTGACTAGCTTGGCTCCGTTGTCTAAAATGAACAAAAGTAATAAAATAACTGAGCAGCATAAATAGCACATCAGTTAAAGATCTTACAACTGAGTTTTGAAATGATGGAGGAGGAAAAAAGTGAGAGTAGATGGGTGATTTGGTGGGGCATGATTTCTCTTTTTCATAAAGAGGTTAAGTTCCTGTGCTTGTCCCAAAAATATCCCAGGATTGGCATTTATACACATCACCCTTCTAATCAGGGTGGAGTGAACTGCTGGGTGCAGTGCCGCTCCTCTGTCATTGATTCAGTGGTATAACTGTACAGATGTATGTCATGATATCCCAGGATAAGTTGTTACTGCCTATTATCTGGGAAACTTTAGGATTTATCCCAGGACAGTGGATGTGAACATCTGTACTTTTATCCTGGGATAATCCTGAGATAAATACAACATCTGTTTGCCACCTTCATCTCTAAAATGGCATTTTATTCTGCCTTCTGTTTGACTTTAGCCTAACGCGGCTAACCACCACTATCTACATTACATTGAGGAAACCAGTCCCAAATCAGTATTGTTCCCTTGATCTGTGCATTTAGCTGGTATATCTTCATAAACTTGAAGTTTGCAACACATAGGGCACATCTACACGAGACGCTATGGCGCAGTAGCAACAAGCTGCTGTGCTGTAGCTCGTTGCTACAGTGCCATAGCGTTGGCGGTCATGAACCATGACGGCGATGCTACTGCGCAGTAGTAATGAGGCTACTGTGCAGCAGCATCTAAAAATAAATGTGCGACAACAGGGCTGTGCAGTAATGCTGGTTACTGCGCAGTTATTTAGTACATGGTTGAGCAAGTCCTAAATGACTGCACAGTCGGCCGCTCGGGTAGATGCGGCCATGAAGTCCTACTTTGGTATGGGTTATTCACCTAGTCCCAGCCCCTTTGGTTTTTGTTCTTATTGACATTTTTTAGCTCAGGCTGCATGCCTGCTTTCCATCTTTATTGAAGATGAATAGTCATTTACCACTAATATCCTTTTTAAAATATGACCATATAAATATGTACAAAAAATGGGGTGAGTTTATTTTGTGAATTGTTTTTGGAAGGAGAATATTATTCTGTTTCTCCCTCTAACATGGTGAATTGAATGAAAATATAACTGTAGAAGAGCGTTTTGCTTCTTTGAATCATAGCAAATTAGGGTGGAAGGGACCTTAGGAGGTCACATTTAGTCTAACCCCTTGCTCCAAGCAGGACCAGCCCCAACTACATCATCCTAGTCGAGATTTTTAAGGCATTACTCAACAAAGTCTCCAAGGATGGAGACTCCACAGCCTCTTTGGATAACCTGTTCCAGTGCCTTACTACCCTCCTGCTGAGAGTTTTTCCTAATACCCAACCTTAACTTCCCTTGCTGCAGCTTGAGCCCGTTGCTCCTTGTTCATCATCTGCCCCCAATGAGAACAGCCCAGCTCCATGCTCTTTGCAGTCCCCCTGCAGGGAGGTGAAGGCTGCTATTCAATCCTCCTCAGTCTTCTCTTCTGCAGACTAAATCAGCCCATTTCTTCAGCCTTTCCTCACCAGTCCTGTCCGCCAGCCCCGCAACCATTTTCATTGCCTTCCGCTGGACTCTCTCCAATGTGTCCACATCCTTTCTGCAGTGGAGGGTTGGGGGACACATACAACTGGACACAGGACTCCAGATGTGGCCTCTCCAGTGCCGAATAGACCCTCGATCTGCTGGCAACACTCCTACCAACGCAGCCCAGGATGCCGGTAGCTTTCTTCGTGACAAGGGCACACTGCTGACTCATTTTCAGTTTGAGTCCTTGTCCCAACTTTCCTACTTTTAATGGCTCCCTTTAGGGGTGAGCTGGTGACCTAATAACGAACAGTGTGTGACTTTTTAAAAGTTAATAGGAGCCATTTCTCAGCATCCGTAACTGGAAGAGCCCCACCATATAGCACACGGGCTCTGAGAGTGGCGGTGGGGATAGTAAAATGAAAGACCCTCCAAGGGGGGCGGGGGTTTGCCACCATCCAATAGTTTGTTTCTAAGTCTGAAGAGAAGCTGATGACAGTCTCAAAGGAGACCTCACTTGAACTTCAGTAATAGGCTCCAATAAGAATATCATCATTGAAGCGTATTGAACTTGAGCACAATTTTGAGTGATATGCCATGCACTGTCTCGCACTGGAAAGCATCACATAGTAACTTTTTTTTCCCCCTATCAAATGTTAAATTTAGAAAATGCATCTTAAAAGGTCAATGCTCCTGTTTGTCCTGAAACTAGGTCTGGGCACTAGCGACTGGGTATACAGTCGGACACGGAGGACTTCAGGTATTGGAGAGCTAGCGCTTGTAAACGAGCAATGCTGTATAAGCTCTGTATGCAGCTCTGCTATTGCCCTTCAGTTTTCACCTGCAGTGCCCATGTTCCTACAGTTCTGGACCACTCTTCAGCAAACCCTGCTGACTGTATTCTTACAGTTGCATTTTGTCATGATTTTGCATGATTTTACATGGTTAATGGGTGCAGCATTGGCCTAGCTCTTCCACTGTTGAACTCCCCTAAGGCCCTTCCTTCAGTGGAAGTGAAGCAGGCCAGCACTGCAGGTTATTGAAAGTCCCACCCAAGCTGATGTGGATCGAAGCACCCAGGGACTGCAGGGGTAAGACCCATTTGTTAACCCTTGCACCACCCGACACCTTCCCACTAGGCTTAACAGAAGTAAAATAAGTATCGAAATATTGTTGCTTTTGTCTTCCCTATAGAGGTAATGCGAATAATGATGTTTTTAGGAAAGGTGGGCTTCTAGGAGCAGCCACAGACAGAGTAGGAAAACAGGGACAGAAGAGAAGGTATGTCCACGAGAAGGTAATAAATAGCCAAGAGCTCTAGGTCCTATTTTAATTTGCACCTGCATCTGCCTATTCCCACCAGAACCG